AAAGAGGCAAAAAAATCTACTACTGTTGCATTACAAAAAAACATTATAATTAAGCACTGTAACAGGCCAGACTACCTAGACAGGCTGTGAAATCCCTCTTCACTGGAGATTTTAGAGATGTTAGACAGACATTATTATCTGCACTTACACAACCAGACCATGGAGGAAACAGAGGAACAACTTCCAGCCTTATGCTTCTGTGAACTTATGCTTCAGAAAAAAAATAAGAGGGGAAAAAACTCAAAAAACACTACACCACCAAAACCCATAAACAAATAAAAAACAATCAACCAAAAAAAACCCCAAAACAAAACATCATAAAATCCACACTGCAGAAAATCAGTTTGCATACTGAAATGTTTATCTTTCGGGGAACAGTTCCTGTATTTCACTTATTCTTAAATTCAAAATCAAGCAGTGAGTAGCTCCACTAAGTCTACAATCTCAATAAAATTAATAGTTACTGCCTCTAAGCTATGCACAGATTCCAGTCCTACCCAACCTAAATCATCACCCAGCCTGTTTTATTCAGGGCATAAACATTTTGTTCCAAATGAAACTTTACACTCAGCTCGCAGCTCTGGCTATAAAGTTATATTCTGCCCAGAAAATGACAGCACATATTGATAGCACAGCCAGACTGAGTCCAAACACAATGCAGCTCCAGTACCAGGCACTCTTGTTGTTAGGAATAAAACATTTCTGAAGAACCCTATATCACTTTCTTGGCGCTTTAGTGAGAAAGGTAGAGGAAGATGGTATCTGCCAAGGAAACAATGCCACTGACTATACAAATTACTGAGAAATACTTAATGAAATGTAAAAAAGAAGGGAAACAACAACGTAGAGGTCAACAAATATTTTTTTACAGAAATTTGTAACAAGTGCTAGGGATATGTCATCAAAACAACCACTTCAGCAAACTTCACTGTAGGAATAATTTTAATAAATACAGTTATGCTTCCCTCTTTGTCCAGGGTGCAGTGAGGTTGGCCTGCCTTCATCAGAGAAGGACAGGCAGACAGTCCAGCCAACTGTCTAATGGGTAAAACCACTCACACTGGAGCAAGGTATCTGTGTAATGTCTCACGCTTGAAATCTGGGTTCCTTGGCCACCAGATGAGCACAGCTTCCATTTCCTCACAGGCTGTGCTGACACTGCACAGAGCAGTATCCCAGTACTGAAGTTTGCTTGGGAACTGGAAGCACCTGAGTTAAAATATCACAGAGGCTCATACAGGCTGATTTACCTGATGGAAAAAAGGTTCTTCCCAGCATGGTGAATGGCTCTGTGGACAACCCTGGGCTTCCACAGCTACACAATCTTTTTACAGAAGCACACAGCCCATGAAGCACCAGCCTGGTGTCCAGGCTGCACCTGTGCTGTGGTTATCCTTCAGGCATACCAGTGTGACCTCAAGCCAACAGCCTGGCTGCCATTTCCCAGGCTCAGATTTCTGAGACGGCTCCCAACACAAACAGAAAAATAAACATAATTTTTAGGTTACATTTGAGAAAAACATAAGCAATGGGTGTAGCTCTTGTAAGCAGAAATCGAGATGCAGATAAGTTTAAAAAAACCCCACTCTTTAATATGCAAGATACAGGGTCAGTTACTAAGTTGAAACACTGAATTAGAAGAAATGAGTTCAATATCCAAAAGAGATTATTCCTCATTTCACCCAATTCACATTTCAGACAAATTATGTTGAGATACTACAGTAAACAAGCAAGACAGAATTAGATAAAGATGCTTCAGTCACTCATTTTAATTAATAATTAAAATTATCATTTAAAAAATTCAATCTCCATCCAATTCCTTTAACGCTTTAATTTTTGCAGCCCTGTTGAACCGCACAGATACTTCCAAAGATAAAAGGATACCCTGCTTGCTTTAATTTTCACCTTATACTTTCTGCAAATAATTTACACATTGTACAATGGAATGCTGTCTACGGTGGACATGTATGCAGAAGGAAAAGTGGTTCAGCATTGCATATCACAGAACATAAGCAAGTGAAATGAGGAAAGATTGTATCTTTAATATCTGGTCCATACGAACACCCAAACAAAAGTCTTTTGCAATACTGGGAAACAGCTCAAAGGCTCACCAATCAATCTCCTCTTCAGGCAGAAATCCTCATGATTAACACACCAGAATCCTCTACAATATAAAGACATATTTATATATGTCTCATAGTTCTAAATGAAAGATTTAGAAATAAGTATTTCAAATAACTTGAAAAATAAAGTGTTGCAAACCATTTTTGTCCAATACTGCTTTTTAAACCTCTACCCAAGACTGCTGTCAGTAAAATGTCCTCACTAAAGCATTTCTCTTTACAAAGACTAATACATTATTTAAACGCAGACTTATCTGATAACTGTTAAGATCTGTATTTTATGGAGGAAGCCAGTAATATTTTCCTCCTAATAATCAGCAAATATTTCTGCATCTAGAGCTGGTTCTTTATTATATCTTCAATTAAAAAGGGGAAGGGAAAACCACCTTCTTGCTTCATTCATATTCCAGATTATGAGTAGAACTATCTTCTTTATTAATCATTTTATCTTCCCCTTCCTGTCCATACTAAGCCCAGGTCTTTGTGAAGCTCTCCCCAGAGAGGTCCAGATATTCTACTCCAGACAGAAACTTAAAAACCTGTTATCAAAATACTTTCCCTCTGATGTCATGATTTTGCATTTATAGGCACTCAATTCTATACACTGCCGAGATATAGTATCTGTTGACTAATCAGAAGAAAGAATTAATAGGGGTTTCAAAGCTACAAAGGCAGCATTCTCACTTGGATGGGAGCGTACAGTTCATACTTTGGGGGAGGGGAAGAGAAGAAAGAGTGTTGGCTCTTTCATGAACATAAAAGGGCAGAATTACACATTAGTGTAGCTTCCCCATGTATAGACATTTTTTTTCTGAAATGCAGTGTAAACTTCAAATCAGCCATTAGCTTCCTTAACTAAAGCTCAAATCATCCATGTAATTACTTTTACAGAGGATTATGACTAAGTTTTTTTTAAAATGTGAATTGTTAAAATTTCACAATTAAGAAATAAGTCACAATGGGAAAATAGGTTCCTATTCAAAAACAACCAACCAAGCTGGCATCGTTAATAACCTTTTAACAAGGCAGAACTGAAATACTGGGAATGCTTATTGCCAGTTCGGAATCGAAGTGAATTGGGTAAACCGTGCAAATAGGTTCTTACAGCACCTGCCCAGCCCTTGGCCTGGTACAAATCTGTACTTGTTCCTTCAGCAACCCTTCTTCATCAGCACATAGAAATTACCAACTCATTGAAGTTTTCACAATGGCAAAAAAAAAAAAACCCTACAGTTTTTTTAAAAATACATTTGAAAGAAAAGTTGAAATGCTGGGCATTCTTGATTCATATGTGCTTTAATACCAAGATTTTTGACCTTCAGAAGTCCCTTCTCCCAGGAAAAAAAAAGGGAATAAACCAAAAACACTCCTCAGAAACAGCCACAGAGAGACGCTGCAGACATCCATCTAAAATAATGGCAGCCAAAGGTCAGGATAATACAGGGAACACCATGCTTTTTATTTATTAATCTTCCTGAAAGAGACCTCTTAGTAAGCAAAAGCAAGAAAATCAGGGACTATCCAGTCAGAGAGATGTAGAAACTGCCTAAACATGTGTCATTTACAGGATTTTCCTAATAATGACACCAAGTATCTTCAACTTGGACAAATTAATTTTAAGACCTCACTGAAATATAACATGGGTTGGGTCACATTAGCAAGATTCAGCAATTTTCCTCTGAAGATTCGCTTATCTATATCCAGAAGATTACAAAATACCACTAAGAAAAGCAAGCACTGCAGATTGGATCCTGATCAGTGAAACGACAGAAAAGTCGTAGGAGTCTTCCAAAAGTGCTGGGAAATGCATACTGCAAGAACAATTGGTATTCCTGCCTAGCAAAGCTGGGTTACACTAAAAGGCTCCAGCATGTTAATCTGTCACCGTGACAGAAAAGCAAAGGATGCCAGACCAACACACATCTCTTTTCCAACACCCCGCATATCTAACACTGAGCTTCCGAACACAATTAAAAATAGGACTAAAGTGTCCAAATATATGAGTAAGGGTGTTCTTAGCATTTCTGCTTCCAACTTCTTGTTATTAAAAAAGAGTACCCTTCAAGACCTTTCAGCATTTCCTTAAGAGTGTTTTTTTGTGTTCTATAATCCCAAGTGTCAAAAGAAATAGCTCCGTATTTGCTTCAGATCTCTCCAATGGAAAAAAAAATACACATTACAGTAATTCTGTTACAAAACTACAGCACATGTGAGAGGCCCCGAGAAGCACCGATGCTGATAAAATTAAAAATGGCTGTGCCCGAAGATCCCACAGTGAAACAGGCACAGCTCTGCTGACGATTAAAATATATATTAAAAATTCCTGCATTACCTTACAAAGGGCGAGGTATGCAAAACTAAAAGATTATATATATTTCCAAAACTGAAGTAAGTTATTAGACAAGAGATGCAGATCTAAGCAAAGCATTCTTACTGAGTGCAGGTCGAGCTCATTTACACAATAAAGCAGATTTTATTCCCCGAGACACTCAACGTATCAAGATTTCAAAACTTTTATCAGGCTTCGCCGCTGAAATAGATGCACACCGCTCGGAGAGGAGGCAGAGATGTGCCCGAATAGCAGCGGACCCCACCCCCTTCCCGCTGCCAAAATGGCCAGTTCGTTCCACCCAGTGGCTACTCACCAGCCGCAGTGCCGAGCAGCAGGGTGGCACTGGAGAGCAGGAGCACCAGCACAAGGTGCTGCAGTGAGGCAGGCATACCTGGGCAAGCCACGGTTCGAGCCGGCAGGAGAAAAAAAAAAAAAAAAAAAAAAGGGGGGAAAAAAAAAACCAAACCCCGAAGAGAGGAGAATCCTCCTGCTTTCGCACAGCCTTCCTTAACTCTCTCGGTTTACAATCCCGTCTGGAAGGGCAAATGGCAGATGAGAGGAGCCGTCTTCGCTCTTACTCCATTACAGCCGCCTGCCTTCATGCCTGGGGAGCCGGCAGCGCTCAGCGGACACGGGGGAAGAGCCTGGATCTGCCTCCCAGCCCCGAGGCATCTCCCCCGCCGGGGAGGACGGCGGCACGCTCCCGACCCCGCTGGGAACCGGGCTATTTCCCACGCAGCTTCACGACATCGAAGAAAGCGCCCGGTCGGGAAGGGAACATATCCAGACGCGCCCACAGCGGTGTCAGTCAGCGCGGGCCCTGCGGGCTGGCCGGGGCGCGGAGAGCGAGCTAGGGGCTCACGGCGGCGGCGCGTCCCATCCCGGCAAAGGTCTCTGTCCTCTGGCCGCCGCTCCTGCTGCCTCACGCTCCGGGTAAGGCGGCGGCGAGGCCCCCTGTTCTCACGGCGAGGGCTGCGGCTGCATCCCGGCCCATCTGCCTCCCGCGCCGGGCGGGCTCTTCCGCGCTGCCCCGGCCCCCGCCGCAGCACCGACGCCACCCCCGGCCACCCCGACAAAGGTGGGGCCCGGGGCGCCGAGGCCCCTCCTCGGCGGCTCCGGCTGCGAGCGCACCCGGCTGCTCTCGGCGGGCGAAGGCCCTTCCCCTCCTCCGCCTCCCGCCCCGAGTTTCCACAGCGCCGGGCAGCCTAGCCCGGCCTCCTCACGCCGGTCTCCGCTGAGCCCCTCCGCGCTGCCAGCGCCTTCCTCCCCCCGCGCCGGGCTCGCCGGCGAGGGGCCGCTCCGCCTCTTTCCCCTGCCCGCCGCCGGCTGCGGGCGGGAGTCGAGCGAGGGCCGGAGCTCCGCCGCCCGCGCCCCCTCTCGCCCGCCCGCCCCAACAGCACGGGCGGCTCCAGACACAAAGGGGAGTCGCTGCAGCCGCCGGCCCGGGCGCCCGTCCCGCCGCACCGCCCCCGCCGCCCGGCTCCGCCCCGCACCATGGAGGTGGCTCCAGGTAGGCAGAGCGGGGCTGCCGGGCGGAGCTCCGCTGGCTGCGGGAGGGAGCGAGCGCGGGGCGAGGGCACCGCCGCGGGTGGGAGCTGCGGGCGAGGGGCGGCTCCGGCAGAAGGGGAAGGCCCCGCTAGACCTTCCCGGGAAGGCCGCGAACGCCCCCCCTCCCCCTTGCAGCCTGTGAGAGAGGCTGTCAGCAGGGAGGCGTGAGCTCAGGATTCACAAAAAACGCCTGTAACAACAAGGAAAAAATGTTTAGCAGTCTCTGAGATTGCGTCATGCTTGAACTCGGTGGCCTGCCTGTCAGACACCCGCACTCCTGCCTCGTCCTCGGGTTCAGGCCCCGTTATCTCTGTCCCTGTGAGCTCCCCTAGGAGCACTGGCCGTGCCACCTACCGCTCTCCCTGGTGAGCCCGGGCAAATCACGGAAACACAGATCAGTTAGGTTGGAAAAGACCTCTGAGATCATCGAATCAACCTGTCAGCCAAGTGCCACATCCAGTCTTTCCTTAAACACCTCCAGGGACGGTGACTCCACCACCTCCCTGGTCAGCCCATTCCAATAGCTAATCACCTTTTCTCTGAAGAATTTCTTCCTAATGTCCAGTCTGAAATCCATTCAGCACGTATGGCTTCAGCCACCGGACTCTCTCAAGCAAAACCATTGCTTAAACCCTCTTAAATTAAAGAGATTTTATGATTTCAAAACAAAGATAAAGTGAACCCACTCAGCTGTTTGTATGCTTTAACCTTTGCTGTATTGCACAGGACCAAAGAGATAAATTTAGGGTAGCAGCTGATGGGAGAACTGTGACTGGAATGGAGTGTCTGATGTTCTGGCCTAGCAAGGCTCTTTCAAACAAGTTTAACTGGCTGTTGCATAGAAAAAATGGTTCTTAAGAACACCCTGCACCCAAAGGCACCTTCATAGCTGGGCATCACCAAAGGTTTGATTATGGGAAATGCTTCCCTGTGCCAAAATTCCTATACCAGTTTCAAGAGTGGACTACAAGTTCAGAAATATTGAATGCTACTACATAAAATTATGTAGTTGCAAGTCAGAGTTACAATTTTAGTGATAATAAATTTTTTCTGCACAATTCCATTTTTCTTCACAAACCATAATAGATGAAATAGCTGTACTCTGGTACTTTGATCATCAAGAGCATTATTCAATAAATTGTACTAGGATTTTCATCATTGTGATGCTTTGGCCAGGGTCATAGTTTGACATTCCTAGGGTCAAGGTTAATTTACACTGATAGTTATAAAATGTTTTCAAAGTTTCCTACAATATTTTTACTTCCAATCTATGCAGATCCAACATGGATATTGGTAAGACAATAAAATATAGAATCACAGATTGTAATTTGTATTGCCACTTTCCAGAATTGCAACCACATATTAACCACAGTATCCTTCCTGTTATTTGTTAAATGTGAATGTCAAGAAATAGCCTTTGGAAGCAACAGCAACACCAACCCTCCACCCTCAACAGCTAGAACAATTTTACCTCCAAGAGAGGAATAAAACCCTAACACTGAATATTTTTCTGCAGCACCAAAATCCAATGTACTTTTCTGGTTCTACAGACATCAAACTATGCAATACACCTTCTGCCCAGCTGTACCTACCAATAAAAGAAGCAAGATCTACTTTGTTCAGAGAAAACAAGAACCTTGCCATATGGGTTGCACAGCACTGCCACCGTTTAGATGGTAAAAGAAAATTACTGTGATTGTTTATGATATGTATGAAAACCTGCTCAGCCTGAAGTAAGTGACAGAGGTCTCACTTGTTTCAATGGTTCTAGTTTTGGCTCATTAATTTATACTAGGAGTTCTTCACAAGAAATTGGGCAAAAACCTATATTCTGCCTTAAAATACTTTTCTTTTTTTCCCTGCACAAAATTGATTTGAATATTTTCTGTTTTCCTAAAATGAAGGAAAAAGATACGTCATTTTGAATACAATTGTTTCCTTTTAGTTTCACAAAAAACCCAAACCCGATCAAGAAAACACCCTACTGAAGGGCATGGGGCTGTGCATCGACTTTGCTGGAGTGTCTGTCAGGCCCTTGGACTAATGTCACACACTTGCACTCCCAGCAGTTTGCAAGGATTTCCCCTCCTTCCCTAAGCTCTCTGGAGTGCTGTAGATGTTCTCTGCGAGGGCCGGGCTCCCCGGAGCTGGCAGGGCACCGCTTCACCACACAGACAGAGAAAGCCATCGCTGCTGTGTAAGCACAGAACAGCTTCCTTTTCCCACGCTGGTGGGAGGAAACCAGAGATCCAAACTGTCACAGTCAGGCTCACTCATTGTTATGTGCTTGGACAAGAACAAGTTTATAATTCTTCCTGTGATATTGTTTTATCTGTAAACTAGAATTTCGCTCTCCTAATATTCAGCAACACCAAGTAAGACCTACAGAAAAGTAGTCAGGATTAATGGAAACTTGCAGAGCTGCTGAACAGTAAATCTAGGGTGCAGGTTCAGGTAAAGATGGGGGTGAGACAAGAGAAAACACGTCAAATGTACCAAGATTTAAAAGCCAATATTCTGACTAAAGCACTGTATTTCCACCAGGAAGAACTCTGACCAATGAAACAACACTATTGAACTTAGTGGAGATAAGACTTAAAAAATATGAGGAGGAAAGGCCTTAGGAAGCAGATGGTCTTTTGCAGCTGTGTTCACTGTTCTCACAGGCAGGCAGAGGCAAGGCTGCCCCAGCAGCATGGTCAGGGGCAAGGACGAGGAGGGCAGTGGCAGGGGAGCCAGGGTCTGGTGGCTGGAAGCTCCCCAAGATGCAGGACAGATACAGCGGGGGACATGTATCTTGCCCTTGGCTGAGGGAGCTCTGAGCAGCACAGGCACAAACAGCATGTGGGGGTTGCCCTTTGCTTCAGAGAGACACAGAGAGGAGAAATACAGCTGATAAGAGGCTCAGGAGTGTCCTGCTCTGGCTCAGACTGATGCAGACACAAACATGTTGATATCACTGGCAAATTCAACACTGCACGTAAGAGAAATTAAACATGTCCTTGTTAGCAGCATCTCCTTTAAACAACACACATCTTTATTTTTAATTAACTGAAATAAGGGAAACTATTTTCATGCTACCAAGAGAGTATTCCAATCAGTGGAAAATAAGATGAAGAAAGAATGAAGAAAAATGAAATTAACTATGAAACAATAGTTTGGGTTTAATTTCTTTTCAGAAAATCCAATGTTCAGGCACTTTAAAAAGATTTCTCAGGGTAGGTTCACTGTTATCCAAGAGTTTTTCAGTGCTGATGCAATATAACTGTTATCATCGTTAGGACTCAGGGGACTGTTCTTTTTGACAGGGCCTTTCATGAAGTCAACAAATCAGTTTAAAACAAGCCATAAATTATATTTGGCTGCCTGTCAGCTTGGCTGGGGTGTTCTCCCAGTGCTGCTGTAAGTGTTGGGGAAAGAATATAACAACATGTCCAGATATTTTGCTTTTAGAGGATATTTTGTTCCTAATTCAAAAAGAAAGCATCCCCCTAGCATTGACTCTGATGCATAAACATATGTTAGAACAGCCATCAAGATTTTTACAGACTTCCCTGCAAACAAATTCACCCGTTCTGGATCCTAAGTGATAGCTTAATAACTAATGGACTCGGTACGGGTCTCCCCAACAAATGCCTGCCACTCATTGCTAAATTAGGGAACTGTCAACAAGATCATTGCTCAGTCTTGCTCCTGTAAGTGTATGTGGAGAGAGAGGTGGTTCCTGATAGATGGGATCCCAGCCTCCTATGGCTCTCTAGATATTATTAACACCCTGAATTGCAGCCAGAACTCACAGAAAAGACAATAGTGTCTACTTACAGTCTGCTGAGTTAGCAGCTACAGCTTCAGCCAGTGCAGCCAAACAAGTAATCACACACAGATGTCATTACCTTTGGAAGTGTTCAGTTACTTGTTTTATATAGATTTTCCCATAAGTGTCCAATCCTGGCTGCTGCAGAGTGGCATTAACACACCCCCATAAGTTCCCTTGGAGTCAGGGTAGGGAAGGTGGCTGTGGGAAGACCACACTTACAGGGAAGCAGGCACATATGGATAAGGAAAAATGATGAAACCTCTGGAGACTTCAGAAGCAATCTGAACACAAAAATACCTTCCTCAGTCGTGGACATGTTTCCTTGAGAATAGGGAAACTCTTCCTACAGAGTTTTTTACAAACTACCAGCAGCACTTTCATCTTGTCTGAATTATTGTTGGGTTTTGCTCCTTTTCCAGGACTTGGTATTATCTTGGGAAAATGGATTCTACAAAGGAGGGACAGAGGGACATCAAGCCATGATCGAAATCCCGGAGAGGTCCTTTATGGGGTGAAGTCTGTTTCTTTCTGTTCTTTCTGACAGGCAGGAAAAGCCCTATCCACAATGGTCAGCCTGTCCTGCCAAGATGTGAGAGTGGTAAAACCTCCTGTGGCATCACATACCAGACCAGGCTCTCATGCTCCCAGTTCTACCAAAAGCCTTAAGGAAATGGTAAATCAAATTCCCTGCCTCAGAGGGAATTCATTTCCCCTTTAGTCCAGTTAAATAAGCTGTGCCAGACATTACTTTTGGCCTTTAGACTCATAAAAGTCTGTCTGAGGGCTGTTATGACTTCATTTTTCTTTGTCTCTGAGGTACAGAAAAGAGTATCTACTGTTGAGCTTTTGAAAAAAAAACCCAAAACATTTATGAGTATGAGCTAGTAAGTGTTTTCAGACCTGCATTTTTCTAACTCTACTGAGCTGTTGTGTAATCTACTGCAAGGTGAACCACATTGTGCAATGAAGTCATGACAGTCTTTGACACCAACATCCTAAATCAGAGGAGAAGTTTTGTGACAACTTTGTTTACCTTTCAATGGCAGACTTTTAATAAATTTAATGCAAAAATTAATTGCATCACTCTTGTGGCAGTCCCCAGAAAGATCTATTTTGATGTTTCACTTCTTTTTTTTATGCTGGTCTCACATTCCCTGATTTTGGTGTAGCAAGTGGTTTCCTATGGGGAGCCCATAATTGCATGATCAAAGGTGTGAGGATCAAGCCTGGAAAGATAAGCAGTGGGTGTGGGACAGGTTGGCCTAAGGTATGCAAGGAGAAGGAGGAGGAAGATGCACATAGTGGGATAAACAAAGGGAGTATTTTGTCTCTAAAAGGATTAGCAGTGAAATAGTTAATCACCATTTTTACATTTCATAATACATTATATTTCCCAGTGATAATGAACTACCAACAGTGTTGGTAGCAGCTGCTGCCTTGTTTTAGAGATAACACTGCTTAGTCTGTGGAAATCTTATCTCCACTTTGGGGGTGGAGGTGAGAGAAATTTTCAAGTTAGCTCTGAGAAGCACCTCCCACTTTGAAATAAGTCTGAAATCATATGTTAAAGGCCTTTTACAGCTTGTCTGAATCTCTTGGCTTGTTCATCACAACATAAAATGAGAAATTTGCTGCAGGGTTTTTATCAGTTCAAAACATCACTTATTCATTAAATCCAACAATGGACGTAGTCAGAAATAGAAACGTAATGAGCTGTGTCAGAGTCATCTTCTGGTCTGTAGCAGATGGGTATGTCATCACCACAGACCTGCAGGGTTTCATTCCTGAGAGCTACCTGAGCCTTCTCAGACTCACGACAGGCAGCTGGGAATGGGGCTTACAGAATCTCCAACACTCTCTCCTGCTACTGTTACCTTCCTTTTGCCTTCTGGTTCTGGGTTGTTGGGATTTTTTTCTTTTTCAGTTGTTGGTTGGTGTTTTTTTAATTACTCACTACACAAGATAGCAGTGCAAGTCAGGTTGGTTTTCAACAGCTACCTTTTCGGTCTTTAATTTCTTACCGATAATTAGGATTTGACCTAAAAATATTTCTCCAATCAGCTCAATACTTCTATCAGGAAGCAAATAAAAATGCCAGCCTCTGATGAAGCCCTGATAGACCTGAACTCAGTTTTCCAAGATGGAGGTTCAGAGGAAGCAGCCTCTGTTTGTGCTCATTGCTGGCCATCCTTGAGCTTCACATCAGCTTAACAAGTTCCAGGCACTCATCTAAAGGACAGAAGTGGTGTCAACAACATGCATTTGTTCCTTGTTATTTTAAATGAGAGTGTGGAGGGAACCGTTTTTGCTCAGACTTCTTAGAACTGTTGCCTTTTGCAATGAGAAAGGAGGCATCAACTATGAGCCCAACAGCAGAGCTTCTTCAGGTTTTGTCTTCTCTTGCAATTTTGAAAAAGAGTAAAGACACAGTTGAATTGAAGTCCCTTTTAACTCAGATTTTGTTGTCACTGCAAGGACAATGTCAGAGGGCTGACCACTTTCAGATCCATAGGTTCCAGAGAAAGGTGTTGCTGAGTGTGCCTGCCCAGCATTCCTCTTCTGCATGCAGCCAGCTCTAGGAACATCACCTGGAGGAAGATAAAAGTAAAATTACTACCTTTTACTAAACCAAACAGGAGATTTTTATCCTTTCTGCTTCTGCCTGTAACATGACATCTGTTGCCTGACAATTTTGAGACATTTTTATCTGAGAAGATTGTTCCTTCAGAACAAGAAATGAGTCAGTACCTCTGCACAACCTGCTTGCTTCTCATGGATTGATTTGGAAACATGAACCCAATTAACTGCTTCCCCAAAGCATCCATCAGGAACCCTCTCCCTGAAGTAGTACAGGCCAGGACACCAACTCCAGCCACCAGCATCAGTCCTGCTTGCTGGGGCCTGCAGGTAACATTGAGGGCACAGTTAGTTCCTACCCCTCTGAGTCAAATCAATGTCTGAGCAGGGTTTCCCCTCTCTAGATTTTTTGACAGTTTCACTTTTCTATTTATTTACTTTGAACCATCCCCTCAACTTTGGAGAAGTTGCATTTAGCAAAAGAAAAAACTACCACCCCTATAGCTCTGCTTTCCTAACTGATGAAACGCTCACATTTCCAGCAACAGAAGGGTGAAAGGGGTGTGAAATGAGGGCAAAGACAAGCATGGACCCTGAACTAAATGCTGAACAGAAAGAGGGAGGAAGTTGTAGGCAGGAGAGAGAGGATCTGAGGAGTGAAAGGAGGAGAGAAAATGTTACGGGAGAGGGTTTATGTTTGAATATGGATTTAAATGAAAATGCATTTTGATTTAACAGAAAGGAGGGTGCTAAACTCAGATCTCTATTATGAACCATGTTGACAGGGACAGTGGCTTGGAAGTTTCACACAATGCTCATCTGCAGGAGTACGTCCCTGGGACAGGCTGGCAGATAGTCCTCAACTCAGAAGGAAACAGTAAGTCTCAGTTTCTCTTGGCTTAACCAAAAGCTGTAAAGCATATTCTTCCTGCTCTCCACTTGTATTTAGAGCTCCCCTGCGTATTTTGTTGATGAAATCTCTCACCCCAATTCAGGAGATAGCAGCGTTTGCTAAACATACTCTGCCTTGCTACCAGAAGAGCTTCTGACCTTGTCCTGTCTTCTCCTTAGCGTTTGGCAAATACTTATCTGTACTCACTGTGACCTCCAGCCAGCTGGGTAAAAAGCTTTGGAGCCAAACATGTGCACAAATAATTCCAGGGGTAGCTGTTACTACTGCATTATCTCTTTCTGTGGTTTCTACAGATAGAAATATACATGTTGCAGTTTACAACTCCTTTCCCTTTAGCAGACCAAGGACCATCTTCAACTCAGGGCCATTAAACCCATCTCAACAAAGAGGGCCTTCAGTCTGGTACTCCCCTGTTTTGCCAGATGTATCCTATCGGATGAAACAGAGCCCACAACAGCCAAAATCACAAATCACAGCCCTGCCATCTTTAGCCAAGAAGGTCTCCATTTAATCACTCTTCTCACCTTATGTGTAACAGAGGCTATTCTGTGTGTTTCCAAGCACTGCACCCCATCTCTCCAACCCCTCCAGCCTCCCACAGCCCAGACATGAGGTGTTTTTTCACCCTGACGCATTGAGGTCCACGCCTGATCAGAGTTCATTCAACCCGAAGAGCAGCAATGACTCGCTTCCAAAAAATGAGACTATTATGGCTAGAGACCATTATGAAAGCCTGCGTGAAGCTGAGACCAGATGTGTGCTCAGCTCACTCAAAATATTGCTTAGAGCAAAGCTCTGGATTGTTTTGGTTTTGTTTTTTAAACAAAACAGGATTGACAGAATCTCTTCTGTAACATGAGAGATTTTCTGATGTTTTTCTGCACTGCTGTTGCAGATGTGTGGCTGGGCTGGGAGCTCACACCCACCGACAGTGACCACAGCAGCTCTCAGAAGTGGATGAAGACATGGAAGGAACCCTTATGTGATAGGATGGAAGTGATGGGGGTGCCAGCCCATTTAAGTTCAGCTCCAAGAATCAGCTTGTGGTCATTGGGACCATGTTATTCTTTCAGCAGGATGTTCTGTATGAGCCCCTGGAAGTGAGAGCGATAACATGGCTCTGATCACTTTTTGCCTTCACAGCAAACCTTTCATCAGAGGAACCTCAAAGCAACTTGCCAGCAAGAATGGGCACAACCTCACACTGTGCCTGTGAGATAAGCGAAGGATGGAATAGATTAACTGCTTAAAAGCACACAGCAGCTCTGTGGGATGAAGGAAAATAAGAAAAAAACCTTATATATATACATACACTTTTGAAACCATACAGGGTTTTATGGAGAGGCAGCCTGGAAGGCTGCCAGGATACTGAAATTGCCACCCCTACACAACCACGAATACCATGGAAACCAGTGGGGCACTGGCAGGCAGGAAAGGAAATCAGCTGAAAAATGGCTTTCCATGAAATGCAGCCAGGCTGGGACACTGCTCCCCTCCTGACTGAGGGAGGCCTACGTGCCTAACCACCAGTGTTGCTGCTGGTGGGAGCTGGGCTCCAGGAGAGAGTCAGTCCCAGTAATTTCCCAGCCTGGGGTAACGCTTTCCTGGCGGCGGCCAGTGGATGACAGCAAAAAATGGGATGGCTGAAAACTGCTACATCATGTCAGCTGTGGTGGGGAGGTAATGGAAACCCTGAGTGCCTAGTAAAGCTTCAACACATGCTGGGAGGTATAAGAAGATCAAAGTCGGTTGACATCTGAATAAGGACAGGGAAGGAACATGTATGTGCAAGCTCCTGCCTGCCCTGTCTGGTGAGGCACGATTAAAAAGCACAGAACACTCATCAGTTTTCCTTCAAAATACTAAAAAAGCACAAAGAAGGATTCCTTTAACCTGAGCAAAAGTAAGTAAAGGAGGGAGACCTGGAAAACAAAGCCAAAAATAACAAATGAAACTGAATGTAACAGGAATAACAGAAATAAACAAACCCAGACAAGCAGTGGAGGAGGAATGAACATGCTGTTAATCTGTCAAGTACACCATGCCCACATCAAACTACAGAGTAAGCCCAGAGAAATACCCAGCCTCCTAGCTGAGCAAGGGCACCTGCTTGTTACCAAACAGCACATATCCCTTAAAAAGTCATACTCCTGGTAAGCAGGGGAGGAGGAATTCAAGCATAGAACAGCTGTACTCATTCAAAATACTGCTAAGAGGAACAGCGGCATCTTATGAGTAAGCTGGATACGGCGCAAGCAGCACCAGGCTTGAACAAAAATAGCCCAGTGGAGATGAGAGGCAAGAAGAGACACCAGTACACTGCTCTCCTTCTAGCTCTCATCAACTGAAGGATGCAGAGGTGATCTCCTACAGAGCCTAGATTGAATAGAGACAGGGGGATATTTCTTCAGAAAAGCAAAGAGAGCTGGAAAACCAGAGAAGCAGCAGAGCAGCATTTCTGCTATGTTAAAATGCACAGAGCGAACAGACCTTCCAGTAAGCACAGGGGAGGGCTGGAAAGGGGATGGGAGCATTGCCGTGGCTGGCCCTGATAAGGCTCTATCTAGGAACAGGCGAGGGCTGTGCTCACAGCCCAGCTGAGAAATGGGTCTGGAGGAGTGCGAGAACAACAGGATAACATCAGGCACTTCTCACACAGCTGAAGGACCGCCACTGGTCATCAGGAGACAAGTGCAGATGGGAGACTTTAAAGTGGTGCCAGAAAAAACAAGCTACAGCCAGGGTCGAGGAACATGGGATCCAACTCCTAGTTGTCAGCAATTGTGGTGTATACATTGCTGAAAACAGATGCAGTGCCAGGAAAATCCAACTCCCAGCATGAAAAGAATAACTTAGGAATGATAATGAGAGAAGCCAAAGCAACTGCGACTGTGAATTAGTGATTACATAAAAGTTTTTATCTTAAAGTTATGTTAGGCCAAACCCTGAAGTAATTTTTTTCATCCAAGAATGCTCCCTCGAGACCCTGTGATTTGGCCACAAATTGCTACATTAAAAAAAAAAAAATACCCCCACAAAAAAAAAAAAAAAAAAAAAGCACAACAAAACAAAGATTTCCTTTTTATGCTGGCTGGAAATACATACATAGCAGACAATAGCTTTGACTGGCATCAAACACTTCTCCAGCAGGTAGCTGAAGTTCTCTGTTTTATGCCACCATCAGCATCACCGTGAGGGACAGACCAGTCTTCAGGATTTGCTCCCTTATGTGGCTGCTAGCCAGGGAAGTTGGAACTGTGGTTGTTTAGTATGAAGACAAGTACGAGTTATTCAAGCTCCCTGAAACAAGTGAGGTACAATCCACATCACAGTTCCTCCCACTTGGACCTATCCTAAAAAGCTAACTAAGGACTAAAGCTACTCCTGGAAAACTGAACATACAGTAGCCTGGGTACTGCCATAAGGAAACGTAGCAATCATCACTGCCCACCATGTGCTGAACAGCAATAAAAATGATTTTTAAAAATAGCTGAGTTGGGAAAAAAAATACCGATGTCTCAGTGGCAGGCTCAAAAGAGCAGCAAAAGGATTCTCTCTATCCCATTCCCTGGGCAATACTGAGCTCAGCAGCAGCTCTGGGCTTCACACCTGGAGGGTTCTGTGTAGTTTCAAACTACAAACTACTGGGTCTGCAAATCCCAGAGCCCAGTAGGTCCCAAAGAGATGCAGCCACAATGAGACATCTCTCACCTCCCAGAACCTCTCCCCATTCCAGTTGGAGATCATCACACACATGAAACTTCCCTGCTCAATCTTTGGACTTGGCTTACCAGGAGTAATATGCTGCCAATCTGCAATTGCTAAAGAGGTATCAAAAATAACATGAGAAAGTGAGTATTTGGAGCAGGAGACACACCCTTCCCATGACAGATGACCTGCTATAAAAGCCCTTACAAAAGCAAGGGAATGTGCTGTTGTAAAATCTGAAGCTTAAATGCTGTGCAGCCAAAAATCTTGGAAATAGTTCTTTCAAATTATACAAACACTTTGGAGATTCTGAGAGAATAAATAGCTGGAAATAGGTTTAGATAAAAGAACCTTTCATGCCAGCTGGCAAAAGGCAAACAGATGGATCAGATAGATGGATAGATGGGGCTTAAAGCCACTTTTGTCTCAGCAGTAGCTGGGCTTGTGTATGCAATGTCTGAAGGCAGCATATCTCATTATCTGACCCTTAAATGTTAGCTTTATGAAATCATATCAGATGAAGCTGCAGCCTTCAAAAGCATCTCTCAGCTCGGCAGGACTCTTGCCTTCCTCCCAGCAGGCCTTGGGCTGGCTTGGTGCTCATGCATACCCCTCAGGTTCTCCCCTGCTCAGAGCATCAGTCCGGGCTCTGTCAAAGCTCAAGGAGGTTTGTTATGGTGCAGGGAGTTTCACAAATATTTGGTCTTATGTTCCCATAGTGCAACAGCAGCAGGATGGCCCCAGAGGGTGAGAAATGAAGGATGCTGTGAAAGCTGAAGGGAAATCCCCCAAACTGTGTTCAACATGTTTAACAGAAACTCACTGAAAGCGGGATGTGATCCACACGACACAAACCAGAGTAAGCATTCTGTATTTTCTGTAGCCTGTGCAGCTTGAGTAAAGGTGTTATTTAGTTCTAGCTGTGCTTTTGGTGCATGAATCTAAAGAGGCCAAACTGAGCCACCTCAGAAGGGGAATTACACCTTGTTTGATGGGGATGGGCCTGAACCACAGGTTTGCACAAGTCCTTGCAGTTTGCTTAGAGCCAGACACCCGCTCCTCACCCTTACATGCTTTTCTCAGGGTGACTACAATGGGGGGTAGGGCTGCCCCCAGCAGTGGCAGCTCATTGTTAGTGATGTTTGTCACGAATTACAAGGACCACAGTCCCCACAGGCTCCCTCCAGCATCTCACCCCCTGGAACTTCAGTGGGTCATTGCCAGTGTGACATCCCAGTTCTGCTGGATCACCAGCCACAGCAAACAGGGTCTCTGCGGCATCTCAACTGATGTGAAGAGATAACAGAAATCTGGAAAGACTAAAATAAGTACATGGATTGGGAAGAGTTTAACTTTCTTTTAGAAATGCAGTTTTTGCTGTGTTTGAACTATGTGTCCCTGAAGATTTTATGTCAAAATGAAACTGTGTAACGAATATTAAATGTTTATCAAGAAATTCACCATTGAAAGTGGTCTGCAATGACAAATCAAAAAAAAAAGAAAATCTCCTCTGTGCCATTTCTATTCTCATTTTTTATGGCACATTGATTGCCCAGGATTTTAATACTCACCTTCATAGATATTTTTGTTTTTCAAATCAGACATTAAACTTTGCCATCTTGTTCAAGAAGACACTGAGTTACCAAATACATGGCAGGATTACACCATCAAAGTTGCAACATCGAAGCCCTGGCATGACTAATCCCCATGTAAATGGAAAAAGACCAAAGATGGGCAGTCTGTGCAGTGGGTAGGTGCAGAGCTAGTCAGTCTCCTCCAGCCCACAGGTGCATGGGAAGTGTGTCCCATCCACACAGAACAGCCTTGAGTCTCTGCCACCCTCTTCCTTGGGTGCCTTCATAGAGACAGTGGCACATGTGGCCTTGTGGGCACAGCAGGGTTTGCCTCATGGTTGTCCCCCTCACATCGGGAGAGTAGCTTAGGATAAGGGGGTTGCTCCCAGAAAGAATGTTGGATTCTTTGTTTGCTTTCATAAGCATGTTAATGGGGAAAATCCACCTTTGCATAAAACATAAAACCACTTTTTAACTGTGGTCTTTGAAAGATAAGCAAAACTGTCTTCCCTGTATAAATGGCATCTGAGAGAGTACACAGACTATGTGGTCCATCTTAGAGAAGCAGCTGCCAGAAGAAGACATCACCAAGCTGGCTTCTCTTTCCTGTAGGCATCATCTTGTGATGATTCACAGAGCTCAGCTGTAAGGGCATTGATGATGTGTCTGTATGATGCAATGGCAGAGCTGTGTCAGATCCGACACCAGAGCACTACTTCTCAGCGTAAGGACACTTATGCTTTTGTTTGGTAGGACAGTCTAACCCAAAACTTATATGAAGTTGGCCCAAAGCCTTCCCTAGTAGAGAGCAGGGGTGGCTGATACAGGCTCCAGCAAGGGTCACTGTGGGCCCTGTCTCTCTCCATCTGAATTCATTAATTAGGGGAAGATGAGGGCAGGACTTGCTGTTTCAAGGGACTTGCCCTCACAGGGCAACATTTCCTGTGGTTTCTGCCATTGAGCTGACAGCACAGGGACCAGAAACAAGAGATGTGAATTGAAAATAGAGAAGAAAGACCTGCATCTTTTGCAGGTGTGCAACTTTACTATGGGTAGGCAAAACAGTTCAATGCAGCAATTTCTGAGGGTCAGAGCTGACACCCAAAGGAAGCCCAGATATTTAAGTTGCACATTGAGCAAATTTGATTGAGAGATCAGAGAAAGCACAGATTCTGTCATTCTACATCCAGATTTTTTTTTTTTTTAGGTTAAAAATGCACTTGAAGCTCTTTTTTGCAGCTTTGACCTCAGCAAACAGCAGTTGTTCAAGTGTCAGAGTTGTGAGCTCCAGTGATCTATTCAAGTCTCATGCTAGCTGGTAGTTCTGACAGCTTGGAGACTCATGTGAATAAATCAGCATTTCAGCTATTATCAACCTAAGTTTCTACACATTCTGCTAAAACAAAGGAAAATAAACTGGTCCTACTAATGTGTATACCAGGAGTCAGCCAAACCCCAGAGGCTGCTACCTGGAAAAACACTTTTTTTTTTTTTTAAGTTGATGATATGGTGTGGGACATAACAAGTCTTGTTTCTTAACGCCTGGAGTCACTTTTAGATTATACCCTAGATTGTACCTTCAGATTGCACAGGTACACTTGGACTGTGTTGCTGCATTGTCACAGGCTCCAGTGCCCACAGTACCTGCACAGTGACTCACGGCAGCACCACGGCGCATTGGAGGATCATCCACCACCACTGGCATCCAATCAAGCCTTGTGCAAAACCTTCACAGCATAAGCAGGAGATGTGCCTGCTCTCACTGCCTGTTGCTGGAAGTCGTTAGGAGGCTCCAGGAAATGCCAGTCAGAAAAGGCTGGAGGCAGCAACAAAGGAAAAATAAATCTCAGCCTAGCATATCGGAAGGTATTTAGTATGAAGGAATATTTACAAGTCCTGCTTTGTGCTTTAAGCACAGCATTTGATAAAAGTGGTCTTCTCAGCCTCTTGTATTGGCAAAACAATGCACATCAGCTGGACTTTGGAAACAAAAGGTGAACAGTCTGACAGAACAGATGCCTGGTTCCTGAACAAGGCTCTGACCCTCACTCCAGAACAAGTGTCTTGAGCATTTGCCTCCAAGACTGAGGCCATTGACCAGTGCCTTTCAAAGCAAACAGAAAGGTCACCACTGGCCCCAGTAAGAGTTGGATCCAGCTGAAATGCTGCACACAGGAACTCAATTTTCTACTGATTTTTCCAGAGATAATAAGCTTTTCCAAACCTTTGGAGAGTGAAGACTTTCACTTGTAGCTCCGCTGACTTCACCTCACTGACTGCCCCAACAACATAAACAAAACAAATTACTGGGACTTGCAGACTACCCTGGCCAGGACAGCACAGTCTTCCTGTTTCTACATAAGAGGAAGTATTCCCTGGTTTGCAAGGTGAGGTCAGGCAAAAGAAACAGCTCCTTTTCTTTAATTAATTTTGTTGCTACTTGTATCTGCACTTTCTTTCATAGTTTCAGGTGCACTAGTTATCAGGAATATCTGCCTCAAGGCATAAGCAGTGACAGTTCTCAATTCTGCCTTCCCCTGCCTTCCCTCCCGAAGTAAGTGTGAGGCACTTTCCCACAGATGCTCCAGAGCTGATCTATTCTGATCACCAAAATATTAAACCCGCAAACTCAGGGAAGGAAACAAAAATAAATAAAAAATAAAAGGCCTTTCAAATCAAGTGGATAAGCCAAGGGGGAAAAAATAGACTCAGGCATTTCTCCTCCCCATTTAATTAATAGCATTCCACTTCAGAAACGGCACAGGCAGAGCAAACCTCTCTGAGTGCCTGTGTACAGCCCTCTCCTGCCCTCCCTGCCAGGCCCTGGCTCTGCCGTGCCCCTGCCAGGGGCCAGAGCTGGCAGTGCCCGAGGCAGGGCTGCGCCTGGGGCCACACTCCCCACCTGGGCCTTGCTCCAGCCAAGTGCTTGAGCACATACCCCAGTGAAAGGAGCAGGACTGGTTGTGCTTCAAGATAAGATTGTCTGCCAGGGCTTTGTTGGAAGCAGCCTTGTAGATGCAGGAAGGAAAACAAGCTGTAAAGATGGCAAAAGGAGAAGGGAAAAAACGCCCCAAGGGAAGCAGCACTGGCAGGACACAAAGTGAAGGGTACAGTAAGACTGAGACAAACCTGCACAGCACGAGTCGTGTCCTACATTAAGAACCCTCCTTGCCCTGCTCACTTGTGTGTTCTGCACCTCCCAGGGCAGCCAGTGCTGGGGGCAGGGTGCCAAGGACCTTGGCAGGAGGTGGCACAGTCCACCCTCACCCCATGTTGCCTGCACACTATCCTGGACAAGCAGCTGGGACACTGGCTGTGAGGCCACCTGCAGCAGGGGCTGCTTTGCTCACAGTGACAAAACCTACCTGAGATACAAGTTGTGGGGCTACTCACCTAGTAAGTATTTCAGTGGCTGCAGGTGAAGTGTTTGTTGGCACAATTTGGAGGAGGATGATCAAAAGCTGATCCCATAGGAGAGGTGACAGGTGAAGTACAGCAAGAACAGCAGAGCCAGCCCAGCAGCCCCTGCTGCTCACAAACCAAGCACAGCACTCAGACACTCATGTCATGTTTGCTTGTTTGGGTTGCCTGGTTGTTTTTCCAGATTTAGCCTCCTGTTGCATCCATGGGTGAGGCCCTGCATTCAGTCTGTCCTGTGGATGTACAAAGAGAACACAGACCTTCACAGAGGGTCCTTGGAGGCCCACCACTTCCTTATAGATGAAGGTTTTAACGCTTGAACATCTTGCTTCAAGCAAGGCAAGGATTCAAGGGGAAATCCTAGTTCTACTTTAGCTCAAGCTAGTTCTGTGCAGCCCAGCCTTTTGCATCCATCTGCCCCACAGGTATTTTATTCAGCATAGTTCCTTGGTTTGCACATCTCCACTTATTTATGGCACTTTCTCCATTGCTCCAATCCACAACAACAGGAGGATGGAGTCTCACCATCCAGTGAGGATGGTGTGAGGACAGGGAGGCCAGGGGCAGCTGAGTTTTACAGGCTGAGGTGGGAAACAGTACTTCACAACGTGTGGTTTTGGTTCTCTGCAGTCTGGAAGCTAAAACCAGCACCTGCAGCCCCACAGGAGCCCTGCTGAGAGCACAGGGAGGAGCTGTGGGGTTGGGACCAGCTCAGTCCTGTTGGAATTCAACTAACTGGTGATAATCTCAATGAGCCAGACAAGACCCGAGACAAGACCCAAGATAATCCACAGAGCTTCCTGCTGCACGTTTTGGCTTGATGCATCTCTAAGTTAAACCAGCACCTTGTCCTCACAAGTGGCTGAGCCATGGTTCCTGGCACACACTGGACCTGGAGCAGAGGAGCAACAGGACTGGGCCAGAGGGTCCACAGCTGTGCCAGAGCACAGTGGGCAGTTGCAAAGCCCAAGGGACCCCAGGGAATGGCAGGGTACTCACAGTGAAAGCCAGGCTGCTGCTTTGTGTCCTGAGGCTCAAGGTCATTTCTTTTTCCAGAACAAGGAAAAGAGACTTGTGCTAAGTACCTCAGTTTGTTTAATCCACCGTACAGAAACAAAAGCATGAGAGGTTCAAAGCTCCGCTGTTTATTCTATCAGGCTTATTTCTGGGCTAAATAAACCATCAAAATCTAAGTCTCAGCTGAAAACATCTAAACATGCTAGCTGAAGCTAATGAATAGCTAGTGTTTGGAAAAGAAAAAGCATGAATCCATAATTATTGTGAGTCACCTGGAGAAACCAGAGCAGTAGCCAACAAAAAACCTCCTTTGAATAACTCAATGGGAATGAAGATGCCTAGAAATGTGCACATCATCAACACCACATCCTCAGCCCAGGTGAGGCCAGAGGGGGGCAGTTCTGTAGAGGATGTTTCAGATCTCCATTGGTCACTGACCAAGAACTCCA